CAGAACTACAGAACTTTGTCTCTTGCACAGTTTTTATTTTTAATAAAAAATCAATATCTGTGCACTACACCACTTTTATAGACACCAACGTAGACATAAAACACGACACGTGTGTGGGAAAGATGTTTGAAAATGAGTGTACACTACTGTTCCTGCCCTTAGGAAGTATGTTCCCCAGCAAGGCTCAGCAGCGCACACAATGGCACTCAGTATGTTCACAGTACCTTAGGGAGGGTACACATGATCATTAAGACAATGGCCTTTTCCTTAGGGAACTGCAATGTGGGTACAAAGTTTATAAAAACAAGAGAATCAGTGAAGATGTGATGATCAGTTGTCAAAAGAAGGAAATGGTTCATTAAAAAACCTCAAGTGCTGACAATATAATATGTATATTACATTACACATATATGTGTGTGTATGTGTGAAATGTGTGTATGTGTATATATATCCCCAAACTCTATATTCTTCAATCCTAAGAAAAATAAGGATTTTGGTGAATTAAAAATTTGATAGTAAATAGAGAAATAAATGAGTGGTAATCCCACTTCCTTCCCAGGTCCTTGGATTACTCCAAGATGTGAATGTGGTTGTGAACTAAAGAAAAGAGATAAGACTAACATCTTCCCATTCCAGGGCATTAGGTACAATTAGAAAAGAAAATGGTTCCAAGTCACACCACCTTTCAGAGGATTAATTTCTCTGAAATATCTAGATAAAAGGAACTTCATTCCCTGAAAGGTTCTATGTAGGCCCATTTACTGCCTCTCCATATGATCCCTGGCACAACATATGGAATCTCAAGGAAAGAGCTGGTGAGCAGCAATAACACATTTTATTATTCCAGGATTTTAAGTGTACATGTTGAAGTCTTATTGATATTGGCTATATAAAAATTTTATATGTACCAAATAAAAATTATAAGGCCAAGAAATAACATAAATAAGAAAAAGACTAGAAAATACTAAAACTGCTTAAGTATACTTAAGCCATATAAAACATAAAGGAAAGGTTAAAACAATATCATATTTATGAAAAATGTCAGTTGACAAATGAAGATTTAAGATTATGGTAGATATTGAGAAAGCAAAAAATAAATGCTTGGGGTTGGCCTGGTGGCGCAGCTGTTAAGTGCGCCTGCTCCGCTTCGGTGGCCTGGGGTTTGCAGGTTTGGATCCCAGGCGTGCACCGATGCACCGCTTGTCAAGCCACGTTGTGGCGGCGTCCCATATAAAGTAGAGCAAGATGGATGTTAGCCCAGGGCCAATCTTCCTCAGCAAAAAGAGGAGGATTGGCATCAGATGTTAGCTCAGGGCTAATCTTCCTCACAAAAAAATAAATTAAAAAAATATAAATAAATGAATGAATGAATGGATAAATAAATAAATGCTAAAAATGAAAACAAAATACCAAACAAAACAAAGCCACCCGTAACCCAGGCAATTTTACCACTACTATTTGTAATATTAATGGGAAATCACTTGCAACCATCAATGCTAGTTGCTACTACTTATTGTAAATGATTCTCATACTGCGTCCTGCTGGAACCTGGAATACTTCTCCCAGTGCTTTGAAGTTTCTATGGGTGAAAAGAAATGAAAAGCTAAATAAGCTGGTTCTGGGAGCTCTCCTCTCCTTAGTCAGAGTCACTCTTCTTTTATTTGTTTTACATTTTAGGATGCTTCTTAAGATTGGTCTGAAATAGGAGTCTCCCAACTCCACCTCTACTCAAAATATTTGAATACCAGTATTTCATAAAATTATAAAAACCGAGATGAAATGAAAACGTAATTCTTTGATGAATCAAATAGAAGACACCTTAAGTGGGTATTATTAATTTCTTCTTATCATCATTTCTTCTTTATTATTTATCTTCACTTATCTAAATAGACTTTACTTACTGTATTTAAAAAGCACAAATGGAAGGACGTACAGGACTATAATCTACTAGACAGCAGGACTACATGTACCAATTATAACACCCTCAGTGCAGTCCATTGATGATTTTGGTGTCCAGCATATGATACAATTATTCTCCCTGCATGGATCACAGGACAGGAATAATAACAAGTATATATACTTGTAGCATACCAACTCTTTGATGGAATTCTCATTGTATGTACCATCACAATAATAAAAGCTTTTTGCTTCCACTGTGACACATTTCAAAACATGTCAGCATGTGTGTCTGTGTGTTTGTTCAAGCATTAGTGTCTATGAAAGAAGTGCTTCTCAACTTGGATATAAATTGTTTTCAAATTTCCTATTAAGAATAAAAACATGGTATTTATCTTTTGAAAAACATCAAGAACCCTACTGAGGTTCCACAAATAAAAATAATACAATATGATAAAAGTATCTTTTTACTTTTAAAAGGATTGGTTACAAAAAGCAATGAAGTGAAAAGAGACATCATAACTCTGAGAAAATCTGCAAATCCTATTTACTTTCGTTGTTACTAAAATTTTCTGAAAGTTACAAGTTTTTATTTCAGATAACCTGAAATAGAGCCTTCATAGGAGTAAAGTTTTACAACTTGTTATATATTTTGTTCATTCTTAAAGTGCTTTGCATTGAAAATATAAAGATTCTTTGATCCAATATCCAAAATCCAGTATCTGATTATATGAATTTAAGAATAATCCATTTTTATGAAACTAAAAATAAGTTTTAAAAAGTTAAAAAAAAAAAAGATATTTTCAGAGATTAAACTCAGTACTAAAGACTTCGAGGAAATCATACCTCATCGGTGTTATAGATAATCTGCAGCCCTGAGGAAATCATTTCCACAAGGTAAAGGAGATAGAGCGACACTGCGTTTATCTGAAAACAAACAGCAACATTAAAAGGTTAAAGGAAACAACAAAAATATTATGTTATGAAATTAAATGTAAAAGCTAAACTTACAAGTCATTTGTTCTAATAGTGGCATATAAAAACTATTTCCTTTCCTATTGTGAAATAAAGAAGCTATGGATTTAGCTCATAATAAAATCCCAGCTTTGTACATAAAACTCTAAAAGCCTCAAATTCATCATGATGGTTAACATCTGATTAGGAAAATGGCTGCAAGTAGGACTGTTAGCAGGTGTCTCTATAACATTTGTTTTCAAAGATTTATTTTCAAACTCTAGGTCTAAAGTACACCTACTCTGGAATAGTTCTGCCCCTACAGGCAGCTATGTAATGTCAATCCATCTCAAACACACGTAAATGAAAAAGTTATTTGGCAAGTAAGACATTAGGACCATGCCAGTACACCATAAACAATAGGCAGTGCATCTTGAAAACAGTCTTATTTTCAGAGAATACAGAATTTATGAAAGCAACTGCAGGGACATATTAATTTTAATCAATGGTACAGCATATAATTTAAAACATATTTATGAACAAATGAATTTTATAATCAAATGTGTTATTTTCTTCTTTTAGTTTCTTAGTCTATTACAGATAGACACTATATGACCTAAACAAACAAAAAAAAAATGAAGACAAAAATATCCACTTTAACAAAAAAAGATTCTCACAGAATCCTGTATGGGACATGTAAATTGTTTCAAGTAAACAAGCAGTGAAAGATAAACACTATGACACGGACAAACCTTGAAAAGATTATCCTAAATCAAAGAAGCCAGTCACAAAAAACTAAATATTGCACAATTCCATTTATATGAAATGTAGAGAATAGGCAGATTCATACATAGAGACAGAAAGTAGACTGGTGATTGCCTAGGGCTAGAGGCTTTGGGGGAGATGGGGAGTGACTGCTAATGGGTAAAAGATTTCTTTATGGTGTGATGAAAATGTTCTGAAACCGAGTGTGACAGAGGCTGCACAAGTCTACGAATATACTGAAAATCACTGAATTGAACACTTTAAATAGGTGAATTGTATGTCATGTGAATTATATCTCAAGAAAGCTGTTATTAAATAAATAAATAGGAAGCAGCAGAAATGTTTCATTTAGTCAGGACATTGCTAACTTAAGTTAAAACAAAGAGCAAGCAAGACGTAATTTTGCTTGTCTCCCTTGACTGTCCTCCAAACCTTACTAAGTAGTTATTTATGGAAAGTTGGGGCACAAAATTATTTGTGCCTTAGAGGCCCGGGACAAAGCAGCCCTGTGTCACCAGGACCTAGCAGTGCTGGTGGCTCTCTCAGGAACCAGGATGATGCCAGACGTCTCCTGACTTCCCAGGACTCAAAGTCCAGTAGGGTGTCAGGGTCTTGTTAAGATCCAAGCAGGCCACTTTTACAAAAAGATACAGGATTCTGGTTTTAGTTTTTTTGGACTGACATAAATTTTTGAGTGACCTTTCTCAGAACATGGTGGAAAAGAGCTTCATCCCTCTGCCAGGCTCACCCAAATATATTCTTACAGCACTGACATTGGCCTGTCAGAAATGACTTCAAAGAAATTTCATTCCTATGGACAGCCATTTACAACTGCACCTCAAGCTCTCTGCTCTAACTTTTGAGAAAATATCAGCAAGTGGCAAATTGTAAAGGGACTGCCAAATAACAGGTTGACTAGCATTTACTGAACACCTACTAAGTGCCAGCCACTGAGCTTAAATTCTGGGATACAAAAATAAATGAGCCGTTATCTTCTGAAAACCCTATTTCAGATAGTAACCATATTTGTCAAAGCAAAAGGTAAAGAAAACCTAATTATGTGATAATTATAAGGAGAAGGTTAAGAAACAACATATTCATATAACACTAACTCTCCAAAGAACTGGTTACAAATAAGTATGTGTTTCTGCTGTATTGAAATGGAGACACTGCACTTTCTGTGTATGGAGGAGTCATACTAAACTAAGACATTTCAGATCTCTAGAGAGAGAGGTACTATAAAAAGGAGATACTCTTATTTTAGTAAAGAATATATGAATAATAAGTATTCTATCCTAAAGATCACAGAAACAAATGCAAAAAGAAAATCCATTAAAGATAAATAGCATGTATAATATTTGTATCCCAGGAACAAGGCAATGGGATGTCCTGCTAAAAGCAGTACACAGACCTTAAGAGAAAAAACAGTAAAAACAAAACATGAAATCCTACAGTGTTTTCTTAGCACAGGATACAGTTCAATATATTATAGAAGACAAAATTTATAGACTCCAGAAATGCCTTTTGGAATTTCATTTTAGTGGTATGTTTTTAGCTTTACTGAAAGTTGATATATTAAAAATGAACTGTCATGTAACAAAAACTTCTGATTTGCTGTTACATCACTGTCAATTGTCATTTATTCCCTAGTTCCTAAGTGTTGAAATTCTTCCAAATTTGATAACAAGTACAAGCTTCTGTCACTGAAAGAACTGTCGGATCCTTTCTTCTAGATAGTAATACTATAATTCATCCAGTTGCCCTTTTGGCTTGCGGACCAAGAACACAGTCAGATTTAATGTTCAATCACAATAACTAATTCAGTCCTTGTGGCTGGCATTTCACGTCTTTTCATGGTCAATTTTCTACTTCTACTTTGAACAATTTATGAAATCTACTTTTTTTTGTTTTTTGCTGAGGAAGATTCACCCTGAGCTAACATCTGTTGCCAATTTTCCTCTTTTTTTACTTGAGGATGATTAGCCTTGAGCTAACATCTGTGCCAATCTTCCTCTATTTTATATGCAGGTTGCCGCCACAGCATGGCTGACGAGTGGTGCAGGTCCGCACCCAGGTTCCGAACCCGCAAACCTGGGCCACCAAAGTGGAGCGTGCCAAACTTAACCACTACGCCATGCTGCCGGCCCCAAAACCTACTTTTTAAAAATTTTAAATAGTAAATAGCTTCAAATCTTCTGTGATGTAGAGTGTAAAGAAGAAAATTTGAAGTCTTCTCTTTTTACCTGAAGATGGCCATATTCCCCATAGGAGAGGATCTCATCTCCTGTATGCACATTGAAAACAGAGTGAAGACATGTTGTTGGGCGTGGATCCTGCTTAAACTGCTGAACCTAGAATCAAATATAAAATTTAAGTAACGCTAGTAATTCACATTCTCATCCAAGATTAGAGATTATAAATTATTTTTCATGAAACTTTTTAATGAGGAAAGCTACAGCTTATAGGCAGAGTACAGAACAAAGCAGAAATGTTACTTTTTCTAAAGAAACAAAACACAGATAAAACTCATAACTACTAACTGCATAGAGTTAACATGATAATTGAATACTTAACTGATATTTCACAAACAGCAATTCAAGTGTAATAGGGAACATTTTAATGTAGTAGCAACGGCTTTTGCAATGGTGTGCATCTTACTTTATTTTTGAGTCAAATAATGGCTTACTCTGTGGGACAGGATTTCAGCGATTATATCCTCCTGCACTGCTATTTGGAAATGCTTACAAGACATTCAGTGAAAAAGTGCTTCACGCCACATTCTAATTCAGTAAGTGTTCAGAACCTCAAACCTATTTCTTTCCCTAAAGATCACAAATTATAACCTATGCTCGTCGACATGTTTTCATTCCTTATACTCTCATTACTAAGGCATCAATTTCAAGAGAACCTAGGCCATTCCTTTACTTATTAATTGAACATAAAATTTAACCATTTTAGAATACTAAGTAAATACTAAATGATCCAACAGACAAACTACAAAGACAAAAAAATCCATTTACTCTTTTAGGTCCTATTAAATTCAACTTGGCAAACATTTACTGATACCAATTATAAGCCAAGTACTGTGTTAGTCTCTGGAAGTATGAATGAACAGGAACAGAGAATGAACAGAATGACACATAGCTCTATGTAAAGGCAATGATTTTCTTCTCTCTTTGATAAGAGATAAGTGATGATAATTATCTGGTGGTTATGATCTTCCCTTGCTTCACTTGGCTAAGGAGGCACAGAGAACCATATTCTCTCCTCTACCTTCAAAATTCTTCTCATCCTTAAAATCCTATCTCAAAAATCATCATCTTTTATAAAGTCCCTTCTGAACTCCCACTAAAATTCCTTTCTCTGGACTTCCACATCAGGGTGCTTATCCCTCAATGATTTCTCCTGTCTTTTATTCTTATTAGTTGTCTGTATCTCCCACTATCTTATAAGCTAGAAGCTACAGTATCCAATATGGTAGCCACTAGCTACATGTGACTATTTAAATTACAATAAATAGTATTTAGAAATTCAGTCCCTCAGTCACAGTGGCCACATTTCAAGTGTTCAATAGCCATATGTGACTACTGGCTTCTGCATTGTTTGACACAGTGATAGAGAACATTTCTATCATCTCAGCAAGTCTATTGGGCAGTACTGTGCTAAAGGGTTAATACACCCTTCCACCCCCCAGGAGCCCTGCACAAATACAGCCCTCCCTGTGATTGAAGTCAATAAAATGAAAGTCAGGACCTACGAGTAGGTAATCAGAAGTGAGAGAACAAGAGTAAAGGTAGGGATTTACATCCTCTGTCTATAAAGTAACCAAGCCATCTGGGGCCCTACCGGTGGCACAGCGGTTAAGTGTGCGCACTCCGATTTGGCAGCCCGGGGTTCACAGGTTCAGATCCCGGGGGCGCACTGATGCCCCGCTTGTCAAGCCATGCTGTGGTGGCGTCCCATATAAAGTAGAGGAAGACAGGCACTGATGTTAGCCCAGGGCCAGTCTTCCTCAGCAAAAAAAGGGGAGGATTGGTATTGGATGTTAGCTCAGGGCTGATCTTCCTCACACACACAAAAAAATGTAACCAAGCCATCCAGTGTTAATTCAGAGAAGGTGAGAAGGCTATCCTTCCCAACATCTGAAACACACATAGAAATCATTGTGGTCACTCCTTCCACACTACCATGATTATTACCTCAAAGTACTGAACATTATTCTGTACTCTTAGACAAAAATATAGTTAAATTAAAACAAAATACATTTTGCTTACTTGATAAGGATCTAAAAAGATACGGTTTTATTAGTTTAATAAAGTGATTGCTGCAGTTGACAAGGCAGTGTTTGCTATTTGTCTTCAAGACATGCAAGCAACCAGCATGAGAATTTATATTCAATCACTGTATCAGGGGAAAAGCAACTACTAAAGATGCTCAAATGGGGAATTATATAACTATGCTCTGGGTCTTAAAGCTGTTAAAAGACAAATAATTTAAAGTTTCAGAAAAATATAAGATTCAAACTCTACAGGCTTTGAAAATTAATGGGGCGTATTGTATGTGAATTATAGACAAAAAGTACTCTTGAAAGCAGTCAAAAACAAGGGGACATTAATTAGTATTTTATATGATGTCTGGCATCTGGCAAGTAAAAATAAAGAATAATTAAAGCAAAATTTTCTAGACTAAAACAAATCCTGAATAATGTTTTCTCTGCTTGTATTTTACTTGGACTTTTCCTGAAAACTTTAATCATTGTGAACACACAGCTTATCATTGAGGAAAAGGTAACTGAGTATTTACCATCTATTCTTAATTTATAGCCTTAAAATAAGCACTTAGGTGGGAAAAATCATCTCATAAGGGAATCCTGGAAGAATATATTTTACAAAATTTTAACGATTTCTCACGTATTAGAAACCACTTAGCAGCATTCTAAACAAATAAATTTTTTAAGTAGATAATTAGGGACAGCAACATTCATAGTCTATAACTCCTAACCGCAGATTAAGTCAATCTTACAAAATTCTGAATGCTTCTCCTTAAGGAATATTAGAAAAGAGAATAAATGAGAGAATAGGTATACAAACATTTAGAGATAAAAAATACCTAATATTAATAAGCAGGAATTAAGACAAGTGGCAAAACAATAATAGGCAGAAATAGATTGCTCTACATTCTGCAAATCAAGGACAACTCTATTCACAGTAACTTAAAAATACCTCTTTCAGGTAGTATTTTTAGAAAATATTTTAGGAAGCATGCTTCACAATGAGAAATCAATAAAAGTGGAGACTCAGACTTTCTAAGTCATGGTTTTACTTCAGAAGACAAAGAAGATGAGCCTTAAGTTCAAAGAGCAAATCAACACTACAAATACGCTTCACTTTAATTTAAGGCAAGGCCAAAAGAGATATACTTCACATTTTAAAACATGGTAACATTCTCTCCTGCTATGGAATCATGAAGGAAATGGTGAGCACCAACAAGAGGTGAAAGTATGGTGGGAGGCAGTGAGAGCGGTGCATGGTTCAATCACCCTGAGTCAGTCCCTCACAGTCATATGTGGAATAGAGTAATATCCTCCATTCCTACTCTAAAAGGTTATGGGGATGAAGAAAGATTCTAACAATGAAAATACTTTAACATTTGTAAAACCCTACATTTTGTGGTATGCATAAATACCTAATCCTAATGTGATCCATACCTTCTTACAACTCACACTTATTTTAATGGTCTACCATTGCACCTACATAAGGAAAGAAATCCTAATCCTTTATAGTTTAAGGAAGGAATTCAAGACAGTTTAAGTCACATTCAAGTTGTATTCAAAAGAAAACATATCTGTGAATACTGGTTAGTAAGGTTGAATAATATTTAGAAAGGACACTAACAATTGGCTAAACAAGCCACAAGAAAAATCTTCATATTACATCATTTCCTTCCTTCTGAGAAACAACTCTAATTTAAGTCTGTCAGCTTGTTTAGCAAACACATGAAATTCATGGCTCCCACAATGTTTCCTTGAGAGAAAAGTTGAATTCACACACATTAGGCATTCATGAAATGATAAATGTGAAATAAACAGTAAACTTCTCACACTTAGGAAAATAACTTTAATTTGATTAATAACTTTGATTAAATAACTTTAATCAAAATTCAATATATATAACATACTAATTTAATTCAAATATGTCAATATAACATACCACTTTTTGTCAAGCATTGAAAAACCTTTATAATAATGATTTGCAAAGTCAAATCTCAGTAGACAAATTATAGGTTTGTCACATATCTATCATCAGCTTGTGAATAAATTTACTTTTTCTGCCAACTAACATTTTCTTGTTGCCATATTCTGGTGCCGAATATAAATGATTTTTTTCAGTTTTAACTTTCAGATACAGATCTCAAGAAGAAAATGGGCTATCACAATTTTTTGATCCTTTTCAAGCATAAATTAAAACAATATAACATTCACATGATAAAAACATACAAAATATTAAGTGATCAAAATTGTCTGCATAATTACTGATGTGCATCTTTGCTAATAAATCATCAAACCTGAGGGTTGTCTTGGGGACCCATGACACAATGATGTACAGATAGGGACACTTATATTAGGATCTGGGGACACAGAGATGCAGGTAAGTAGGGGGAATATCACATTATATTTGTATAGAGCTTTACAGTTTAAAAAGTTTTATTATGTATATTATTTCTTTAATTCCCACAGTAACTCTGTAAAGTTTGCTGTTTTCTAAGTCTATAATTCCTGCCCTCTTTGCAGGTATATAAATGAAGTATTATATATTTAACATTCACTTAAGTCACAGCATTCACATGTCCCAAAGGAACTGTGATAAAGATTTTCTTAAGTAATATAATATTAGTTAGAATTATGAACATTGTGAGATTCCTGAGAAACTGAATCTTTATCAAGCAAACACCAGATGCAAAATACAAACAAATTCAAGCCTAAATAATAATTCTCAATCACCTCTCACTTAAAGTATTTCTTCAATTTCCGTATTTCAAAACCCTGGGCTGGGAAGGCAGAGGCTGTTTTAACCCACGTAGACTGCCCTAGGATGTGGTTTTACCTTTTGAAAGCACGCTCTTCTTCAGAAGATGCTATTGCTACACTGGTTAAACTAATCCCTCAGAATGACGTGAGAATTCCAGTCCACACGACAGTGTTTTACCTTATCGGCCTGACGCATATAGCAGTAGAGAATTCCTCGCATACATTTTATAGCCGAGTGCTCCAGCTCATGGGTCCTTCCCTTGTCATCATCAATGCGCCTGGGTGAGAGAGATAACTCATGAAACAAATTGGAAATGCATTTGAAAAGGAAGCAGGGTTTTTGATAATTAAGTATTTAACTATCTGGCTAATCCTACGTTCTGGCGACATCTACTAATTCTGCAACAGTGAAACTCCATTTTCCCAGCAGATGTAGAAACGCTACAATAAAAAAAAAATCCTATGATGAAACTTGTGCAGATTCCTTCTTCTTTTAAGGAAGTAAGCCAATTGCTTTAAAAAATAGCATACAATATTTTCTACATTGACTTGGCTGAAATTTTAAAGGATATTTCTATATCAGAAAAATCTACCAAAATATTTTTTAAATTCACTGTTACAAAGAAAGGCAATTTTTACTATCAATTCCTTTTGGTTATGCAATGAGCACCTGGATTCAAGGAAGCACAGAATAACATAGGCACGTGACTACTTTGCTCTGCCACGTGTTCAACAATGCCAGGGTGGGCATTTTCGTCACAGATGCCTTCAACTAAACACACACCCAGTACAAGACATGACATATTTGGGCATAAAGTTTTATGTTCTCAGGTCTTAGTTTAAAATCAATTGATGATAGTTTACATCTCTTGCTTTTAAAAAGAAAGAACAGCTAAAATCTGCCTATCACATAGGTTAAGATGTTCTTCTGTTCTTAACTTTCTTTTTTATTATGGATCAGTGACCTTCAAAAGGTGGATGATTATTACCCACTACTGAAAAATAAAAGTAGCTTATTCATTGTTTCACTAAATCTTAACTAAAATATCTGTCGATCATCCTTACTTGATAAAAAGTATCATCTGTCTCCTTAAAAAGTATACTATGATTACTTCCTGTTCCAATTGCAGATCTCATATATCACTACTAGGAAGAATGATGATCATTTTAACATAGTATGGTGAATGTCAGTAAAAAGTAAGTTTTTCGTCATTAGAACATCATCCCTCCTTTCATATGCAAACACTGCAGGAAAACTAGCATGATTTTGCTCTATGCTCCATTTTTCCCCAAGATGTCAAACACAAGTGTTTCAATAGACGCAAATTACGGCATGGATAACAGTGGACCACGCATTGATATATGGAGGAAACAGCACAATTGGAGTATAAGGAACTCACTGAAATGTTCTATGTACAATTCCTACCACATCTAAAAACAAAATAATTCAGAAAAAAATGAAATCAAGCCTTTAAAATACTCCTCTGCCCCTAATTTCAACAAGCATTAACCCACAACTAAAATATTCCAGAACACTTCAGGCACAATAACAAATCTTTCTATTTCAATGAAGTTCTCCTGTTTCTCCTTTCTTCTGCAAAGAATATGGTAATCAGAACAATATTTCTCTTCTGACTGAGAAAATAAAAGAGCAGTTGCATTTCAGTAAAAATATTTAGGCCAGTAGGATCTATTTATTATCTTTCCTAAGATTTAAAGTGAACCTCAGGACTCAAAATAACTCCTCTCTTTTCTACCAGGAACTGGCAATATTCTATGCTCTTTAGCAAGTTCTGTGGATGCAAATTCAAGTTTTAACATGATCTGAAGAATACTTTTAATTTTAAAAAATGAATAAATGAAAACTTTAAATTTAATTCTAGTCTATTTATTGATCACAAGCTATGTGCAACTGTTGATCTGATACTTCTACAATATGAAGTCTTGATTTTATATCTAAATCAGAATTCCATACTTAAAATATATAACTAGTGAAGAAAGTAGACACTTGAATCCCATCATTGATGCACTATTTCCCCATAGGCAAACCTCAAGGAAAACAAAATCAGAATATTGTGTGGTAGAAATAGCCATTTTCATTTTTCCCATATACACACATTTAAACAGTCTGAAAGTACTCTTTCAAGTCAATACTCTTTTAAAAAATGACTTAGTCATCTCAAACATAAAAAGTAAAGAAAATGAAATTCCACAATTAAACCCTAATTTAAAGTCATGTTTTTTTCTAGAAGTTATATTGGAAACAAATTAAAAACTGCAAAAAACCTACATGATACTTTTTAATATGACATGAAGGATAGGTTCAACTTTCTTTTAACAGATTTTGTATAATTGAGTAGACTCAGAAACAGTTTTAATCTGAACCATGTTAAGTCAAAATAACATAACTATTTATAAACTAATA